AAAATCTGTGCTAAAAAGAAATTTAGCTCAGTCTCTGCAAAAAAAGAGCCTGGATGCTGCTTTCGGGCCTTCCGCACTCGGTGGCCAGCAGCAAGCAGGAGCTGCCGGGAGCCCCCCCGGTCCCCCTGAGCATCAGCCAGGCATGGGAGCTGCGAGCTGCAGTGGAGCCTGCCTGCCCGCCTGCCCGCCCGCCTGCCTGCCTGCCGCAGGAGCAAGCTGTAATTAACTTCTCCCAAGCATCAATTCGGGCAGAGCTGTCCGCAAGACGAATGGGGAGCTGGAGCGAATGAATAGGCCTGGCTGAGCTGCAAAAGCAGCCCCCCATGTGGTGTCCCCAGCCCTGGGAGGGTCCCCGCAGGCCCCTCCGTGCTGCAAGCGTGGCTCAAGCTCTGCAGGAGAAATAAGAAGTTGCGGGTCCGACGGGCGATGCTCGTACCTTGGGTGGGCAGCCTCCTGGGAGCAGGTCGCTGGCATTCAGGGAGGACGAAGAGAGGGGGGGAAAAAAAAAAACCTAAAGGATTTGCTTGTGGGAGCAGCACTGCAGCAGCATTGGTGCAGCACAGAGCCAGAGCCCCGCTCACGGCTCGGCCGACCAGCGAGCAGGCTTCGGCCAGCGGGATGTCGGGACAGCCAGCAGGATTTGGGGACAGCGGAATGGAGAGCTGGTGCCCAGGGCTGCTTAAAGGGACACTCACAAGCTCAGACCCAAAAAAAATGTCATCTGCCTTATTTGGTGAGGAATGTTTGTTTGTTTTAAATGAGTGCTCCTTTGCTGGGAAAATGAAAGAAAGGGGAATGGGGAGGGGGGTGGGAGAGGGAGAAAATAGCCCCTGCTGTTTACATGCCTTGGGATTAGGGCAAGGCATGGCCAAGCCGCCCTGAGCAGTCCAGTGCCCCGCGTCCTTCTTAAAAAGGCAATCGGCCCCGCTCACGTCCCCATCACAGCCAGCGGCACGGCATGGGACGCCTGCGCCCCGCAGATGTAAAATCCAGGAGGTGCAACAAGCCCAAGCACAGCCCAAGCCATGCCGCTGGGGATGCCAAAGGCCACCCCAAATATGTCTGCAGGAGGCCTTGGCTCCCCCCGGGAGCCCCATCCCCAACCCACAGCATGGAAATGGGCCAAAGGGATGAAGGACCTCTGGGGTGATGCAGGTCCCAGCCTGGCATGTGGGGGCAGAGGAGGAGAGGGGCCGGATCCTGGGGAACTGCTATTGCTGTGGCTCATTGCACCGGGAGGGAGCAGGGGCTGCCGGGACTGGGGTCCCACCACCCGGAGAGACACGCCATTACCAGTCCATTAGCTAGGGGAAAGGAAGCTTCTGTATTTATTTTGTGTAGGAAAAAGCTGCTTTTTTAGTGCTGATAGAGCCCCCGTCACAGGCTCCCCGCTAACCCCAGAGCTGCGCTGGAAAGATAAACACAGCTCTTTTCCTGAGCATAACAAAGTCCCTCCATAAAATGGATATTTTTTTTTTTTTCAGTCCTCTGGTACTGTTTTCTCCTCCTGAGCGTGTGCAGGTTATCCCACCCGAAACGCTGCGTGAGCATCCCCAACACAGCGTGGCCGGGGCAGAGCTGGCAGCTGCTGAAACCACAGGGCGATGCGGATGGGAACGGGGCAGGATCTGACCCTGTCCCTTAGGGAGAGCTGGGCACCCCGGGCAGGGGCACCGCGCACCCCCCCCGGCCAGCCCCTGCCGAGCTGCTGCCTCTAAACCCATTCTGCATCCCGGGGGGAATCCTGCCAGTTGTGGTGCCTGGGATCTTGGCTGGGATCTGCCTCCTTTTCAGCCTAGGAAAGAGGCTGAGAAATAAATCAAGCAATAAATAACTCCACAGGCCCCAGGAAAGAAGAAATGCTTTGAATTTATCCAGGAGGGGCTAATGCCGGGCTAGTCCTTCCTAATGTAATTGCTACGCAGACCCTGCAGGGAGTTCTCCCTGGATGCAGTCGTGCTAAGTTATATCAAAGCCAGATCCTCAGAGGTACCTGGCAGAGCAACTTTTAATATAATAGCCTTAACTCCTAAGTTTCTCGAGATGTGCAGGTGATTCAGCCTCCAGGCTCCCAGGAGAGTCCCAGCAAGCTTTGGACACAGTGCAAAATGGGGCTGGTCTGGAAGATGAATGCCATAAAGATGCCGAGTGCTGCATCTCCCTCCCAGCACCCTCCAGTTTGCGGGTGTTTTCCCCGGATGCTCCCTAACCGCTGCCTCGTCGCTCCCCAAAAGGAGCAGGGCCGGGGGTAGCAGTGAGAGAGGGCGTCAGCCTCCGTTACTGCAGAGATGCTCTTACATGTGCTGCTAATTAGTGGCATGAGGAGTGAGTGCTTTCCTCTCCAGTGGGAAGCAGCTAATAAACTAATTAGGATAATGGGTAACTGAGCAGATAAAACTCTTAAGCTATTTGCTAACAGGTCATGGATGGGTGTGGAGCCTCTCCCCAAGCCACCAGCTCAGCAGCAGGGTGGGCAGCGATGCACCAGCTTGCGTGACACCAGTGGTCCCAGCCCTGCCACCCCAGTGATGCCCTGCGTGGGGAATGGCCCTGCAGGTATTTCCCTGGGGATCCTGCTTTGCGGCATCCTTGTGCTTTTTTTTCCCAGGGAGCCACAAGCCCAAAGTCCCTTTACTTTTGCACAGATGCTGCATTTTCCACACCAATGCCCCACCACCCTGGGCAGGCAGCTGATGCTCAGCAAGGAGACCTCTGCCAGCTCAAGCCTGGTGACGAGGGTGACCCTGGTGGAGGGCACTCACAGTCAGTCCCCATCGCACCAGGAGTTTTGTGCCTTTTTGGGGTGCTGGATGAGGGGGAAGCAGATGCCTTCCCCCAGATATGCTGCGTCACTCCCATCCATTCCCAGCAGCTTGCAGACGGGGTAGGAAAGCGTGGTCCCAGCCCTGCAGCATCCCTCTGGGCAGTGCCACCAGCACAGGGTGAGGCTGGTGACAGAGCCCCTCGTGCCACCGAAAAAAAGGGCTGCAGGAGTGAGATTTTAATGGGTACGACAAATAAGGGCTGTGTAGTCTGCAGAGCAGACAGCCTAAACAAATGTGGGTGTAGGTTTTCTGTCTCGGAAGAACTTGGTCAGCTATGGAAAATGCCCGAAGGTTAAAAAATGAGACTTTCCACCACCCCACCCAGGAGTGCTGAAACAAATGAAGTGATATCTACATCAAAATCATAATGGGCTTATTTCCAGATCTAGGGCACGCGATCCGGCCAGGAACTGCTCCTCCATCGGAAATCACCAAAGGGTGCTGAGCCCAGGCCAGCTCGGTGCTGCCCGCTCCCACGCCGGGCAGCCAGGAGCCCGCCTCTCCCCTGGCCAGCATGGGAGTCTTACCCTCCCCACGGCTGCCAGCCCACCCAGAATCCAGGTCATGGGTGGGAACGCTGCTTCCTGCATCTGAGGGGGGGTATTTGAGGCCAAGAGTTGATGTGACCTTGGGCTCAGGCAGAAAGCTGCCACGTGGCCCTCCCCACCGTGCGCTATAACTGTTGCACTTGCTCTTGTCCTTTCCTCTGTTCAAAAGCAGCTGTTTTTAGTCACCGCTCTCCCAACGTGCTTAACAGCTCTCTGATCCCAGCTGGAGAAAAAGCCGAAGAGAAGAGCAGATCATCTACCTTTGCAACTCCCTCCCTGGCTCGAGCCCCTTTCTCTCCATTTGCATCACACGTGCAGTGAGCTGGGACCAATTCTGTAGTGTCCCCTCCCTGAGCAGACACAAGGACTGGACACGGCAAGGGATGGAGGGAGCCCTGTCTCACCATCGGGTGCCAATGGACCACGCTGCACGGCGTTAATACGAGGGCTGGGGGCTGTTTTCCACTGCTCCTCCACCCTTCCCATTTCAAGGCAGGAGGTGAGCCCATCCTCGCCTCCCCACGCTGATGGGGACCTGCCCAGAACGCAAGCAAGCCCCAAAGCTGCAAACTCTATGCTCAGATTTTGGGGCACCCAGGCAAAATCGCAATTGCAAATTGCAGCTGGTGGGACCCCAGCAGCATCTGCTCTCCCCCGAAACACCCACGGCTGGTTTCCTTTGCGCCGTGTGCCTGGGCTCCTTCCAGCCCTCATTAAAGCAGATGGGAAAGGAGCCCTGACCCGCTGGCGTGGGACAGGTTGGGCCATTTATTCCACTGCAGGTGGGGGAACCTTGGCTCTCATTTGCCGAGTGCCTGGGGTAATCCTGCATCATTGTTAGGTTATTTTTGACAATCACAACTTTTTTCTGCAGGCTTGAGGAACCACTCGGTGCCCATCCCAGCAAAACCCCCTGGCTGACACCTCCTGAGCCTGATCCAGACCCCTCCATCAGCAGGTCAGACCCATCAAGGGCATCATGCAATTAAAAACCTGATTTTAAACCTTTCTGCCCTCATCCTCGCAGGGCTTTTAGCTGAGGGTGGAAGGAGGGAAACTTCATTACTCTGGGCTGGGGTCACTTATTAACCTGCTGGTTCCTAATGATGCACTTATCTCCTCCTGCCAGCCCTGGACTAGATCAGGCACCTCCGGGGGGGACTCTCCTGCCCTACATTGCTCTCTTTTCATTAGCTTTTCATTTTGTTTAATTGCTCCTACAGATTTGCCTGGGGTGCCTTGGCCTGGCGGATACCCGAGGGGAGATGGGGCAGGGGGTGCAGGGGAGTGGGACAGTGCTCTGCTGGGCACAAAGCTGCACCGAGGCGTGGGATGCCGTGACGCTGGTTCACAGTGATGGGAAGAGTGGGCAATGCTGATGGTCTTGCCTGCTGCTGCCCAGCTGCACATGGGGATTTGCTATGGACCCCTAGACTGGCTGGGGTAAATATTTGAGGTGACAGATACCAAATTTATGCAGAGAGCACTGAGTACCAACTCTACCCAAGAGCTTTGCAGCTACAACACAGCTCTCCTCCCACCCAGCACTTGCACCACCACCCCGTGCCCAAAACACGGGCAAAAGCTACTGGTGTGGGGTGCAGCTCGGGGGGACCGCAGCTCCCCGGACCCTCTCCCTGCCTCGCGCCTGGCTCTGACCTGCGGTGGTGGTGTCCACGTCCCTGGCTGCCAGCTCCTCCAGCTCCGCCCTCTTGCGCAGCTCCAGCCGCCGCGAGAAGCCCTCCCTGGGCTTCCAGAGGTCCTGGATGAGCAGCGGCTTCTCGTGGTCACCCAGGACCCTCAGCCCCTCCGTCTGCCACCGTTTCTCAGGGCCCTCGAACCTCCCGATGACATCGCACAGGGCATACTGCCCGGCACTGAGCTGGCTCAGCCCGTAGCGCTCCAGGGCTTCCTTCACCAGCTCCCGCGCACCCGAGCTGCCCGTCGCCAGCACGCTCTTGTAGTTGGTGCCCGCGCAGATATTGCCCCCAAAGATCTTCAGGACGCCGGGGGCTGAGAGCTGGGTGGAGAGCTCGGCTGGGTCATCTTCACCGGCTGCCAGGGAAGCAGAGGCTGAGCTCCGGTCCTTGTAGCTCAGCGTCCGGTACAAGACCTGGGAGAAAATCCAGCTCTGGCGCTTCAGCCGGTTCTTGGATGGTGGAGCCATGGTGGAGGAGGACCCGTAAAACATCGTGCGTGAGGTTGTCATGGGGTGCAGCTGGGTAGGGAAGAGGAAAAAGGGAAAGATCAGTGGTTTGGAGGCCAGATGTGCAGCAGAGAAGAGCAAGCAGGAACCGGCTGGTGGCCACAGAGGAGCCACTGTCACCTCCAAGGTGGAAAGGGACAGCAGCGAGGGAGGGCCGTTGCCCTTGTGCAACCCAAAACACCAGCAGCCAAGCTCAGTTGGGCTCCTTGGCATCGGCACGGTTACCCCAGGGTGGATTTGTCCCTGAAAACATAGCCTGGAGTGATCCCAAATTTCTCCATCGTGTGTATTCAGAGGTCCCCCTTGCCCAAGCAAAATGCAGCGGGAGGAGAGCAGAGCCCAGCCGGACTTGGCGGGGCCCATCCTGGTCAGGAGCCAAGGCATCGGGAGTTACTTTCACTAACGAGTTTACGGAGCAATCCCATTTTTTAGAGGTGAAACAGAAAGCTCAAGTACAAATTCAATCACTCTGAGGTCACCGCTAAATGCTTTTGCTCACCGAGAGGCACAGGGTGAAAATGGGCTTTAATTAGCCTTTCTAAAAATGTCCCAACTCCGGCAAATCTCTTGGCTGTTGCTAGTTTGCGGAGGATGATAAAGCACGTGGTGGCAACGCTGACAACACGTTAGCCAGGGCAGGGCTGCTCGAGGCAGCCCAGGACGGGCAGCGACCGGAGAGAGGTGGCCACGGCTGTGCAACAGCTCCCGGTGCACCTCGGTCCCCAGGAACGGGCTGGAAACCACGATGCTCTTCTGGCTTTAGGCAGATAGCAGTCCTGCCCGATGTCACTGCCAGCATCTGGGGCCAGCTTTGAAATCGCATCCTGGATGCACAAACACCCGGTGCTTGCACGGCACTGATAACGCCACCGGTTGCACCACAAACCGCTGGCAGGGAAGGTCCGGAAAGAGAATTTGAGCATTTCTGATTCGGACAGGATGGGGATTTCCTTCACCTCCAGATTTATGATGTTCAGCCTGCGTGCAGGGAACAGGCATGGGCAGGGACTCGGTGCGTACACGGGGGACCCCCACAATGTCCCATCCGCAGCTATGGGAGTGCTTTGATGCAGCAGTCGGCATGATCCAGCCATGCACGGCCGGGGAGATGCGGGGTGCCGGCAGCTTTCCGCATCTGCAGCCCCATCTCGCTCGGGCAGGATCTCGCTGCCGGAGCAAAGCCAGCGCTATCAGGCAGAATGATGTCGGCCCTGGAAAGCCTCCAAACCACCATCTAAATCAGGAAGAAAAAGCGTCCCTGCTGCTAATGGAAGAGGTCACCTTCTAACCCAGAAACAACCTCCCAGCTGTGCATGGAGGATTTCGGCAGGGTGTACATCTCCCCATCCCAGGACCAGAGGCCCATTGAATGCTGCAGATGGGGAAACTGAGGCACCAGCAAGCGCTAAGGCTGCAGGATGTGCCTGGGAGCTGTGCGATCCTGCTGCACCCCAAGTCACCCCTTTTCCCCCCGGTCCCACCAGGACTCTGAAAAAAAAGGTTTGTCCCTTCTTCCCAACCCACTGGCTCGGGAAGTGAGGACACAGTGGCCGTCCAGGTGCTGCGGGGCAGGGGGGGGGGCCGGCAGCCACGCTGGCACATCG